ATTGAAAACTAGTTTAAAATGCTCGCACAACTTCACAAAAATGTTTCAGCTCCATTTCAACACGAAAACGTTTCACACTAAAACATTTAAAAATTGAATAAGTGTATATCTTATGCAGATCTAAAGGAGGGAAAACTATGTAAGCCGTGTTTGATTTGCCCATTTTTAACGACAAAACTATTAAACTGAGTTAGCAAATGTCATACATTATTTTTAACACTTTAGCTTGTTTGTGGAAAATAAATGTATTTTTGCTTACTGCTAGACAGCTGAATAATCTGTTTCAAGTCTCTGGAGGTCTCTGGATTTGATTTATTTATTTCATTTATGACTCAGACATTTTATATTCTCAACAGTATTGCTAAATAATCAACATTTTCAAATTGAATGATTGGGTGTGCACAAGGATAACAAATTGAAGATAAAATGGATAACTATAACTTATTTTGTAAAAACATTGGTAGTTTACTGGGCGTAGTTTAGTGCTAGAAACTTTTTTAATCTAGGATCCGTCGATTAAAGCGCAAAACCGAGTTGAATTCCAATGAAATACATAAATTTCGGAATGCAATTTGGTAGCTCATGCGGAATAATGCTCTTAGGACACCGCATATGCATCTCACTTGCTGTCTCGCTCAGTTCATGCATGAATGTGTGTTTTCCTGCCATGTGTGTGTGTGTGTGTGTGTGCGTGCGAGGACATGTGGTTGCATGCATGTGCAAGAACCAAAATGAATGACAAACTTTCGGGCGAGCGAGAGGGAAGATGTCTCTGGGCCATTTGCATAAATATTGCCTCTGCCGCTGCCGTTCGCCTTCTCACTCGCACACACTTGCCCCGCTGCGTGCGGCGGCCGCTAGGTGGCGCTGTAATCAACTGTGTCAAAATGCCAGCGCAGAAAGTCAAAAGTCGTCGCTGTCAAGTGAAGAAAAGGGCAGAAAAGGGCCGAAAGAGGCCAAAAGAGCCCGAAAGTGGTGGAGAGAGGGGTGGGAAGGGGGCAGAAAAGGACTCGAGCAAGTCAAATTTTAAACACACCAAGACACACTCACACACATATAGATTTCAAGGCGCACCTGCCCAGCATCAGAGACGTTGTAAATTGAGGTTAAAAACGAAACGAAACCAAAGGAGGCAAAAAGGGAAACAAGCAAAGCAGAAGCGAAAAGGATAAAAAACACGGCTGTCAACTTGACAAGCACGTAGGTGACACGCTCCCCCTTCTTAGCCCCTCGATGAAAGCTAGACAAGATGTGTAAAGCGCCTATCTCCCTCTCGCTCACTCATTTGTCGTCTTTTGTTTTGTTTTTGTCCTGTCTCGCGTTGTTTTTGTTGCTGTAATTGACACTTAAACTCGAAATTTGACGCAAATTGCTGGAATAGAAAAGAAAAATATTGCTTACAAAAATATGAATTCAACTAGCTGTTACCCCTTAGATATCGTTACAAATAAACTTTCTAAGTAGAATGCAATTTGCATACATATATAACATATAATGCATACATATACATATAACATATAATAAAAAACGTTACGCTGTTGCATATTTTCATTAGTAAAAAGTAATTTAATATAATGAAAACAAGTTAATTTAAAAAACCAAGTTCTTTTTAAAGGTATAGCTTTAAGGAAGGTAATGTAAGTATCTAGAGGTTTAAAGACTGCAGCCATAAACTTTCCATTCAAAATGTTTTCTGAAAGACTTCAAGACATACTTAAAAAACGATCTCTGGGTAGCTCACACCATTGGATCTCCAAAAATCGTAGGACTTTAAGGATGAAGCGAGCACAGTTGTGCTTGTGAAACGTAGAGGAGTTGCTTTTCTATGCAACTTTTTACCCAGCAGTTGAAGGGTCTTGCAACTGTAATCAAGGCGAGCAGTGGCAAGCAGAAGCAGCGACATTTCAAGTGTCGCATGCGGAAGTCTCTGCTGCAGCCTCTGCCGCAGCCTCTGCCGCGTCTCTGCCGGGGCTTAAAGCCTGCCTGCGTCATAACCGCGCTGCTTGACAATGCCTTCATCCGCCCACACCACATGAATACACTGGGAATAAAAAAACGATAGCTTAAGGAACTAAAGATTAAAGTATCAGAAGGAATTTTCCGCTACAAGTAGCATACTTTTCGAAACCTTTAAATGAGATTTCAAACCTTCAAAAACTTTTTGATTGGGAAAACGAGATAAGGCACTTTACATTTATCCTTCGGGCATCCGGACTCTAAACATATAATTATTTGGCAAAGGAGTTGGGGTGCGAGTAATAGCGAGCAGGATTTCCCGGTGCAGCTCCTCGCACTCGCCATGTGCACACACTCACTCGCTCGCCACCTGTACATAATGAATTGTAATTTGAACAGACGCGGAGCTCAGAATGCGTGCTTGTGTGTGAGTTGTATGTCCCGCTCGCTCTGTCTCGCTGTATGTGTGTCCGCCTGTCTGTGTGTCTGTGTCTGTGTGTAGGTGTGCGTGTGCGAGTCGGCTATTAACTTAAATTACGTAGCATACTTTTGTGCGCCGCCTGCGGATTTAACGGCATGTCCTCGTGTGTGTGTGTGCTACAAAAGCCGCGCATTAAATTCGCACACTCACACACAGGCTCTCAGTTGTTAAGATTGTGCAGAAACAGCAAAAAAACAGAAAAAAAAAACGGGGAAAACAGAAAAGGAACAGATTTATTGTTGATGCCAGGTAACAAGAATTTTAGTGCCGCCTTGATTAAAGCACAACCATTATTTACGCACACACCCATGATGAAGGACATTTGCATAGTTATACCTGTCACCTAACACATGTAATATGCCGGGAAAATGGATTGACTCGGCAAATGGCTGCCATCGAAACAGATAAAGCCCTAAAATTTGTCATGAGATTGAACAGATAATGCGGCAAAATGCGAAAAATATTTAATATATGCAATGCCGTGTTTAGACGAGCCGAGCAAATGTCTACAGCCCAAATTAGTGAAGCCAATATAAACAATTTAATGTGGCATCCGACAGGTGTACTCGTATGTACTCGTATGTGTGGTAAACGGGAAACGGAAAACGGGTAGCGGGTAGCGGGTAACGGGTAACGGGTAACGGGTAACGGGCACAGGTGTCAAAAGCGGAAACGGAAACAAAGTTCGCACTTGCCTTCCGACCACCGGCGGTAGCCCGAAAAAAATCAAAAGCAGCCACATCAGCGGTAATTCATATGCGATTAGGCCAAGGGGATTAGAATGGGGCTAGCTGAAAAGAGGGCTTTGGAACGAGGCGTGGTTTCCTGTCCTTGTGTTGCACAGCAACCCGAAAAACAAACCGCAATTGCAGCAAAAATCTGTCAACGGGCAACCGGTTTACGGGGAGTGGGAGTGGGAGTGGTTAAACATCAAACACAGACTATAGAGTGTCCACGGAATCAACTCTGGTATCAAGCAACATGTTTTTTAAGTTTAACAGAGGATAGCAAATAACAATAACATTCAACTAAAAAGGTATAGGTTCAGATAGTCGTTCATATATGACTTAGATTTTTATCACACGGTATATAATAAAAATGCTTTCATTGAAGAACGTTCTTGTTTGAAGAGTATTTCCCAGTTCCACATCGCAAACTCACATGCATCGTTCGCCCTAAATCCCCAGTTCGCATTCAATTCAATTTGGGAAAGACAAATACTTTTTAATTATTTATTTATGCATATGGCGGGTGGCCGGGGTCGGGGTCGGGGGACTCGGGCGGACTTGCTCATTAACAAAACAAACGACATCCGAAGTGGGGAGGGTGGGTTGGGTGGTTGGAGGCATTTCGGTTGACGCAGTTGTCAGACAGCTTGGCGCCAATTGCGCTGTGCTGTGCGACCTTCACTGGCGGCCACAATGAGCGGGAAGTTAACCCCCAGCCTCCGAAGGCAGAGGAAAAAACACAACCACCTCCCACACGCAAGCTGCGTATACGCAGTGTGGTCGCTTTTTCCTTTTTCTTAATACCCGTTACTCTTGGGCTTAAGGGGTATACATAACTTTCAGATGAAAGAAATATTCTTGGGGAAAAAGAGAATATTGTCGAACCCGCATATGTGGGATATTGGGAATTCGAACAATGAATTCGACACAGAAATTTGTGAGGGTATGAAACCACTTTAAGTGGTGTTCAAAAGTATGCCTTGATCAATTATTCTCTTTAACACACATTGTCCCTAAAACTAGGGTCTGGATAGAATGGTTATTTTATCGTTGCATACTTTTAGACACCTTTCTGAGAGTTTTCGAATCTCAGGAGATTTTTATGGCATTTCAAAGGGTATTTAACAGTTGAATCGGCTGTCCGTTTTGATATTCCCCTCCCTCCGCTTCCTGCTCCTTAACCACTTCTTCCTTTTTTCGCCTCGGGCCAAAAAGGGAATGACGGGCAAAGTGAAAAAATGGCAAGAGGCCCAGGCGAGCATTAAGGGATAAGCTCGCAGTGAATATGTTAATTGTGCCGCCTTTGTACGGGATTGGATGCACTGGAGGGGAACAGGGACTAATGGGTGGCCCACATAGGAAGGGTCCACGGGGGAGGAGACAAACTGCTGACAATGGAAATGTATTATAATTGGAGAGGGGGTCGAGATTGATGATGCCTCTGCGGGTAAGCGCTATTCCTAAGTGGATAAAAAGCTGAATTATCGATACGACCATGCATTATGTATGTTATGCATGGAATATTTGACATTAAATCTAATGCGCCAAGAATAGCTTTTTGAAAGGAAACATTTACAAAGATGGCTAAGAGGTATTCTGGGTCTGTGAAATAGTTTGGAGGTGTGACTATCGATTTAATCGGGGATGCCACAAGAAGTTCTAGCTGTTTGAAATCCTTTCAAAAGGTGTCTTAAAGTATGCGTAAAAAATGGTTTAATTTATCTTCACAATTCCCTTCAGAAAACCTTATCCTTTATTATTTTGTCTTACATATGGTACTCATCCAAACAAAGAGTTAACACTGATGAATTAAGCCTGGTTACAATGTTTCCAAATCAACACAAGCTCAGCGGTCGAATGGCCATCAAAATCTTGGCCACGTTGTCCCTGAGAACAGGACTCATCGTCCTCTGCTTCTCGAGGCTTCCTGGCTGCGCGTGGGCCTGCGACAGCTGGTAAAGATCGGCGTAGTACTCCATTCCCGGGATGCCGACGGCGTTGAAGCTGGCCGAGACCTCCGTGCAGTCGATGATCGAGGTCTTCAGCGGGGTGACCAGCAGGGTGGAGTAGTACGGCACCTTCTTGCCCTCGATCAGCTCGCGGACGAGCAGCACTGCGGTTCGGGACCCGGCCAGGAGGTTCCACCGCGACCAGCTGAAGTTGTGCGACTGAGCCAAGGTGGATAGGCAGGCGTAGCAGTGCATCTCCATCACGTAGTTCTTCTCGCAGGAGCCCTCCGTGTAGCAGAAGGCGTCCTCGTCCGGGAAGATATCCACTGCGGACAGGATCAGCGTGGCCTTCAACTCCGCCAGCGAAAGCGTCTTCCCAATCATCTCGGTGATTCCCTGGGTGCTGCCACCCTGGAAATTGTTCACAGTGTAACCCGATTCGGTGATGGTCATGTCCAAGCTGATCAGCGAAGCGGTGAAGCTGAAGATGATGGTGCCGGGACTGAAAGGTCAAAGGGTTAGGTCTAACAACGCTTTTCCGTGAGCTTACCAACTTTTTCATGTCCGGCCGAAGGTCCCAGGTTTGGTAGGGCATGTTGCTGTATTTGTTCAAGGCAAAGCCAAATATACCTGACAGAGATTGGGTTTCTTATTGTGTTCTCATTTAATATTAATCACTGCATCTCCTACCCAATCTCCCCGTTCGAAATTGTATGGATAGCTTGTCCTCGTTGAACTTGGTGTCGTGGACATCGCGGGTGCTCCACTTTCCCTGAGTTATGGCTGCCGCATTGCTCTTCCTCTGCCTGCTGTTCAAATATAAGTAAGATTGAGGGCTTTTACGATTATTTCTCTCCCGGATCTGATCCATTAGATTACCCCAACCCCACTGCTGAAAGGGAACCCATCAGGGAATCCATCAATCTGTCATACCTTTCGCTGTCGCTACTCTCGGTGTTCGTCGGTGGACCCAAGAGGTCGTGCAGGGTGTTCCCCGCCGTGGAGGCTCCCTCGAGCAGCTCCACCAGGCTGTCCACGTCATCGTCCTCGTCCTCGCTGCTCTCCATGCTGTTGGACCGCTTGGCCGAGGCCTCCGGTTCCGGTTCCGGTGGCAGCTGCGAGTCCCGCACGAAGGATATGCCCGTGTAGTAGGCGAAGGCGGCGGCTGCGGCCGCTGGCTGCAGGACATCCACCAGCTCCTGGCTCAGTGGCTGCATGCCGTCCGATTGATCGCCGCCGTTTTCCGCCTCTCTGGGCTCTTTATCGACTGCGGGGAAAGATGTGACACATATTCTTGGTTGGTGAAAAAATCAAAAGAAGCTTTAAGATTAATGGGAAAATTAAAGTTCTAAATTCTTTGTAAATAGATCGAATTTTGAAATCAAACAGGCGTCGTTGAAGGTAGTAACAACCATAATTTCCCAGGTAGAATACACAAATTTAGGAAACGTGGTTGAACATGTTGCCGATTTTGATGGCTTGTGCTTACTTATGGTGATAGGTTAGCCCACTTTCGACACCTTTACTCACCTGCCTCACTCGAGGGCGAGCCAGCGGGCGAGAGCTGCTCGGAGATCTGCTGGATGAGCTCCTCCTGCTGGTCCCTGGGCAGCTGCAGTCGCCACAGGCGATCCATGTCCTCGATCAGCTGCGAGAACAGGTAGCCCTGGTGGTGGTGGACAGGAGGTCCGGATCGAGGCGCCATTTGCCGGAACTTGAGGAGCTTGTCGAAGCAGAGGGGCGGAAACAGCTCGGCGGGCTCGTCGGTGTCCAGGAACTCGGCGCCCAATCCTGTTTTCGGATTCACCCTCAGCTTCTGCAGCTCCTTGGGAATCACCAGCTGGTCCTCGGCACCGAAGCCCGCTGCCCGACCCAATGGGACGTGGGTTTGTCGGGCCAGAAACATCACCTTTCGCTGCCGCTGGCCCGTGGATAAAACCGGAGTGGACTGCTCCAGGCGAACGCAGAATCCTTGCGGCAGGCGGGGCACCACGAAGTCCTTGACCAGTCCGTAGAGATCCACGTCGCTGGGAATGGCCCGCAGGTCGAAGTCGTTGATCTCGCGGAGCACCTGCTGGCGGGAGTCCCCGGCGGTGTCCGACTTCTGGGATCTCATGCGAGCGGGACAGCGCGGGGAGCTCTTCAGCGGACTCGGCTGGGCGTGCGTCGAAAGGGGCGTGGCCTCGGTGGGCGTGGCCGTGGTGGCCGCCGCCGTTCCGCTCACCGCCCCCGTTGCATCCACCTCCGCATCGGTCTCCTCGGGTGGTTTCTTCACCTCCGGCTGCACTCCATCGGCCAGCTCCATTTCCAGGGTCTCCACATTCGTCTCCCAGCGACAGGCTACAGGTGGCTCGAACCATATCACCGAGTCCGGCAATCTAGGGGGGATTCATCTTGGGAAATGCGATTTTAATCGAAGTGACAATACCCACTGCAGGGTGACCAATGCGAGCTTGTCCAGCGCCGCTTCAATCCACCGCATCTCGGCCTCAATCTCCTCCGGCAATCGTCGCACTCCCGGCAAAACTGGAGGCGGTGGCTTGTACGTCTGGTAGTACTCCTTGTGCACCAGACTGTTGGCCGAAGTGACTGCAATCAGGATGGAAAATTTTGACATGGGAAAACAGGTTGATAAGAAATGATAGTCGTTCTAATAGAAGTCGGTATTTGAGAAAGTCAATGCGTTTGAGTAGTGAGTAATTTTATCATCGGGAATGCCATTTTCAGTATCCATACTTTGCTGTCCAACAACAAAAAGGGTGCTAAATGCAGATATTAGTTAGGCTTGTATATATCATTTTTTTTCTTCTATTAAAAGCCCAAACGGTTGCCATCAGATTATCGAGCATACACAACCCAAATCAAACACTGGTCGAAACTCAACTGGTGCGAATGAAGGACCTCGCGTTGAGCTGCTTGTCCTGCTGCGGAGTCTCGAGGAAGTCGATGCAGTAGACGCCGCCGATGATGCGGTACTTGCGCAGGTTGACGTCCGTCTCCAGCATTCCGTAGGCCTCCGGCCCAATGGCCCGCCGGTGCGCCCTGTTCAGCTCGTCCTCGTACTCCGCGTACAGCTTGTCCACGTCGTAGGTGCGCTCCTTCGGCGGCTGCGAGCTGGCCGAGTGCTGCTCCTGGGTGAGCTGCTCCAGCTCCGAGAGCGGGATCTCCCGCCCGCACTCGTCCAGCATCGCCTGCAGGATCTCCTTGCGCTTCCGCCACTCCCGCTTCGTCTGCCGCAGGATGTCTGCGAGGAGGTTGTTAGATTTGTAGGATTGTAGAAAGGATCAGATCGAAATCAGTTCAGAACGCATAGGTGTCTCAACTCCCCCACTTGCTAACTTACTGGCATTTGCAGATCGAGCGTGTTTCAAGCTGTAGCTGCTGCAGTAGTCACTGAAGTGGTCGTAGTTCAACCAGAGACCCCGCAGCGCCGAACTCTGAAGATGGACGGTGGGTGGCAGTGAGATTTGCATTTCGATGGTGGGGAAGTCGATCTCGTTGTGAGCGGACTGCTCGCCGATTCGCGCTTTTGGGTTGAGGGCTCTAAGGAGAAGGTTTCATTGGATTCAGTATTTACTATTCAACATTGCAACTCACATTTGAGCATCCTTGGAGAAGGTCCACACGAAGCTCTGAAATACGTCCGAGCTATAGATGTGCTTCGATACACCTGGTCTATCGATTCTGCGTGAGAGTGGGAAAGTTTTTGTGATCAATTTCGTTACATATACTTTCTTTAAACACTTTTATATTTTATGAGAGCTGTTATTAAATTGTATGCACTGTTTAACAGGTTTATTGCTATGTTAATGTCATGTGATAAAGGGATTTTAAAGAGAGAAACAATAATGGACGATTAGCATAATAGCTTTACTCCACTCACTCCATATCCCTCTCAATGTGCGACATGGTCTTGTAGGTGAACTCATCCAGATGTTGCCTGAGGAAGACCCTCATCTCGGTCTTTAGCTTCACCAGATCGGCGGCAATAAGGACGGACCTTTGCTTGAACGGCAGCATTTCGTCCAGTTCGTTGAGGATCTGTTTCGAAACCAAATATATGATAAATGGGTCGTCTGAATGTTGAAGTGGATTTTGGCCGTGCCAATAAATTTACTAGCATGAGAAAAGGCAACCTCATTATCCAGATGAACTTAAATCTGTAGCTTGGCTAAAGTCAGCAACTTAGATACTTTAAAGTACTGAAGCCTCACCCCCAGGACTTCCTTGATCCTCTGGGAGTAGACGTCGCCGAGGCGTCCCTGCTGCTGGCGCAGGGAGATCCTCGTGAGGTCCGGAACGTTGGCGTCCTGGGTGAGCAGGGTGCGCTCGTCGGTGCGGAGGAGCCAGTTGCGGGCCTCCAAGTGCCTCTTGGCGATGTCCGTGTGCCACTGGTGGATGTACTTGCGCAGGTCGCTCGGACTGGCCGCATTCGGCAGTCCGTTGCACCGCATGAACTTCTCCCAGTCCTTCTCGTGCCGCTCCCCATCCTTGATGGCCTCGATCGCCGTTCGCACCGCCTCGAAGAAGAGCATGCTGTCCTTGAGCTGCGACCTCCGCAGCCTGTTCTCCGCCACCTCCTGCTGCTGGCGGTGCTTCGCCTGCTCCATCTCGAGCTTCTTCCGCTGGCGGGCCTCCTCCAGCTTCTTCAGCCTGCAAGGGATCATCGGGTTTGGTTAGTACCTATTTGAATGGTGGAGAGGTCTGTGCTTGCAAGTGGTTATTTTAGGGCTGGGAATTTAAGTATAGTATAGTTACGAACTTTTACTCAAGAGTAGTTATTTTTTGGAGAACAAAAACCTTTCTTAAAGATTCATTTGATGGTGGTCTTCCTCCAGTTTTAAATAATTATTTTTTATGTTTTTTTGGCAAAGGTGGTAAAGGTAATTTACTTTGTACAAAAACTTGAATTCATAAATTTGTTATTCTTGAGTATGCACAAGATGTTATTGCTATTATTGTAAATGAAATTAAACATTTTATAAACATTTAGAAAAGACATTATTTACAAAAACAAGAACTACACGAGATTAAAACGACAAACGTAAACTTCCTTAAATCATTTAAATCGTAGGATGTTTAATTAAAAATGTGTACTATTTTTCGTAATTCAATCAAAACATTTGATCTATTTCATTAGGACTCACTTCTCCTTTTCCATTTCGATCCGCATGAGCTCGGCCTGCTCGGCCTCCAGGCGAGCCTTCTCCTTCTTCGAGAGCTTCTTCTTTGGCGGCTGTGTGTCATGAAATGGACATCATCATCACAGTCGTCAGTTTGGTTGTCATAATCATTATCGCCGTGGCAATTAGCATCTTCATCAGTGCTAAGCCGGGCATTTGACCCGAGGCCTACCATCTTATCCCTGGCTGTTCTCCTTTCCAAATGAAACCTTCGCCGGAGTTCTATTGATCCAACACGAGTCCTGGCAACCTGGGCTCCCGCTTTTGTGTTTGTATTTAAGCCAGCTGGTTAGCTGCCTGGGCAACTCAGGTGGCCGGAAAGCAATCCTTTTCGGCCGCACCATAATTTCCCTAATTAAATATTCAATGCGAGCTCAGCGCTGGCCAGAAATGTTTACCGAAAATCCCCCGTCAAGTTGCGCGTGGCAGGAAACTATCCGTGGGGGAATTTCGGGTGACACGCCGCATTCTCAAGGGACGAGGACGAGAACGAGAGGATTGGATTGGACGGGATGGGACCTCCATCCGAGGTGAGAAGACAGCGATGCCTTCGGGGACCTCGGGGACGAACTAATCTAGAAAGCCACCGGAGCGAGTATCGATGGGAAATCGGATAAATTGGTGTGTCATATCCGTCGGATAACTGGGGGGAACTCAGATTAATAGGCCATGCGATTAATTTGCGTGCGAATGGGGGAAACTTTATACGAATGAGCAAATAATCAATGCCATCGCTTTTAATAAATGCAAGGCAATAAAATTATTTAAATATGTATTCCCAATGACAGCCGAAGCATCACCATCACCGACTGAATTGAATATTCCGGGGAGAGTGCAATAAAGCATTTACCTCGCAAGGCTGCCGATAATTTGAGGCACTTTTTTGATTTCCCACGGCGGTATTGTCCATTAATGCAGAGTTAATTGCCGTAAGCGGTAACCGTTTTCGGATTGAACTCCGGCAACAGTCATCTGTTCCGGGATCCCTCTTTTCCCTCTTTTCCCCCTTTTTCGCCTTTTTCCCCCCTTTCCCGCCGCACTTTTCCACGTTTTCCACTTCTGACAAAGTTTTCCCTGGCGAGGCCTTGTCTTGGGTCTCTTTCTTTTTTCGGGGCGGCGGACTGCTCTCTTCTCGCCCAGTCCCCCAGGTGTCAAGGTGACAACGTGGCTTAATTACCAGCCTATTTAAATTTCAGCCCGCCTGCTCGCCAGTTCGGCTAATTGCGGCGCCACCTTTGCTTATCAAATTAATAGCAGGTGCAAGCGAATGGATGGCTGTTCAGACCTGGCTTTAAATACAGCCAATTGGGAGTCTCCCACTCTCTAAAAAAGGGTATTCAGGGTTTCTTATTTGTATGTACGTTAAAATCATTATTGGATTTAAGAAATTGTGATGACTACAGAAAGTGTTTAAACAATTCTTATTTTTAAGCCATTATAATTATATATGTTTGTATTTAAGAACTACAATTGTACAAATTAATTTTTTTTAGAATTCATTTCAGTTTATTTAGGCGGCTTTAAAATAAATTCGATTTAAATTTGATCAAGATTTCTTATATATGTATCTATAAGCTACAAGTTCTTGATTAAATATAATTATATTATGATTATTACTGTATTGAAGTGATCGTAATAATTTAAAAAGTAGTTATGGTATAATATATAACAACATATTTTATTTATTTTATTTTATTTTATTTAAGAGCGAATATCAGTATTCTTTTAAAAGCTTTTAATAAATAGAATACAATAACATTTCTTAAAAACGTAATCATGATTGCGATACCAAGTAGATTGCCATAAAAACTCAGAAGAAAGGTTTCTCAATTCCATGAATAAGTGAGTGGCTCGAAATGAAATCCTAATAACAGGGCGCAGAAAAGCAGGAAGCACTCTCGGTTGAAAGTGTGTAGGTAACTGCATTAAACGCTCCTTCTGTCCTCGCTTTTCCTCTTTTCCGCTTTTCCTCCTTTCCTTTCTGGGGCCCTGCTCTTTTATTCGTTTTGCTGGTTATTTATTGCAGCTGCCCCGTGAGAGCATTGGGCAGCCACAGGACTCAGGACACAGGACACGGGACACGGGACATTGGACACAGGACACGGCGCATAATCCCGGCCTTGGTGTCCAAGGAGCAAGGAGGAGTCGAAGGCGGAGCGAACCCATCCTCCGATTGCGCCTCGTCCAGGTGCTGGTGCGATATAATGCGATATAATTTTAGTGTAAATAATACAGATTGTGGGGCCACCGGTTGGCATGACAATATATTTATAAAGACCGGAGCGTAATTAGTTTAAATTGGTCGGCAACTTGCAGTGGCCAAGTGAAAAATGGGAACTGGGAAGTGGGTAATGGGAAATGGTAAATGTCAAGTGGCAGGAGGCGAAGGGAAGTGCAATGGTGGGACTCATGGCAGATGCACAATAAAAATTTATCATACGCACCGTTGACGTTGACAGATCGCCGAGCTGAAGCGTCGCAAGTTGGAGGGCTACAGGCTACAGTTGACAGGCGACAAACTGCAACAAAGGCGATAAAAAAGAGGCGAGGGCTTTAGAATCCCTGCCTGCATCCTTCATCCTTCATCCTTCATCCTTCTTCGTTCATTCCCTTCTCCGTCTGGCTGCATCCTTCCCATCTCCTGAATCCTGAGTCCCGAGTCCTGAATGCCGCACGCTCGGATGAGCTCTGCAATCTGACAAAATTGGTGAATAGCGAATCCGAATCCGAATGCGAATCCAAATGGTTAAATGCCCCGAGCTGCTGCCGAACAGAACAGAAGCTGCAAGCGAATCTGAAACGAATCTGCAGCTCGGGCGGAAGCTCCGCTCGGAGTTGCCGTTGTTTAACCCACGGTGGCCACCGCTCGGAGATGTGCTCCTGCTCCTCTTCGTCCTGGGGGCGTGAATGGGACTTCTGAAGGCTAAATTGCTTGCAAACTGAATCACAGTTGCAGATTAGCCCATAGTTGAGAGCGCTGCCTGTGCATTCACTTTTGCAGCGAATCACGTTCCTCGATTCAGTTCAACTGGGTGTTGCTCTCAAGGAACTCAAAGGGAATCTTTCACAGATTAATTCTGTCTTGGAACTATTTTTGATTCGTCCGTGGTATTCTTAGTTCTTGAATTATTCAGAGAGCGAGTGGTTTATTTTAATTGGATTACTAAGTTGATATTTTTAAAAGATTTACTTCAAGGTTTTTTATTTGCCTTCAAGAAGTAAATGCTCCTTCCAAATACAAAACATTGTTATTATCTGATATTTGCTAGAAGAGCTCTATGATTTAATCGCACGTTTTCGATTTAAAAGTGAATTACAGATAACGAAGCTATGATTTTTGTTTCTAAGTATTTTTTTTAAGATTTCGATCTTTCCTCTTGCAGCTATCTGATATTTATCACCCCCACAAGGGTATTAAATGGCTTTGTACATTTAAACTATCTCCCAAAGGTCCAAGCAAAAAGTGCCTCACACAGTTGTGAATGTTTTTCCTTTTGTCAGTCAAAACAATAAATCCCTTTAGTGAGTACCTCGCTGCTGGATACTCCAATTTAGCGCTCTTGGTTGTCGATTTTATAATTATGTATTCTGAGGCTATAACTGGTGTCCAGCTGGGCGGGAACGAGATTGCCAGCGGCCAACAGCCAGACATTGTTGTTGGATGTGGAAGGATGAGGATGAGGATGGCGGGAATGTAGATGAGGACTCGGATGTTGGCTGAGAAGGAGGATGAGGATGAGGTGGGGGATGAGAGGCAGGACGAGGATGAGCACTGTGATGCGGACGAGTTCTGGATGATGACGATGGAGAGTGTGATCCGAGGTGGAATGGTTTCTTAATGTGCTCGGTGCGACGTTGATGGCATTGCAAATGTGCACACGCTCGAGTCCCCAAAAACGTGGCTAAGTGTGTGTGTGTGTGTCTGTGTGTGTGTTTGTGTGTGCGTTTGATTGTGTGTGTGTCTGTGTGGGTGCTTGGGAGTACTTAGCCAACTGTCACTGTCGGACAACCCCTCGTACTTCCCCCTCCCCCAATCCATTGACACTGCCACATTTTCCGGAGGAAAATCGCCTGCCTTTCTCGCCCCCTTTTGAGCACTGAAAAGTGCAAATATATTGAGACATTCCCATAAGCCAAATGATGATTCCCATTTGGAGATGATCCGAATTGTTGACATAATTGAACCGATGGAGAGCTTTGTTTCGCTTCTCGGCTCATTAATGGCGAGCATATGCTAATGGCATTCGGCTCGTGTATATACGAGTATCTCGTACAATAGACATATAATTAAGTGCAAACAGGTAAATATTTCATGAGGTTCATAAGAATTCCACAGCTAAGAAGAACTTGTTCTTATTCAGCACATTGGTATTCTTGCCTTTGTTTGAAGTTTGCAGCATTATGTTGAAGCCATTTCAGGTTCATAACCAATGATTACTTTTGATTTAACCCAAATACTAGAGAATAGAAAGAAAATTTAACAATTTTAGCTTTGCTTCCTTTTGAATTGAAATATTTGACTGGAAAAGGGATCTCCTGATCCCGTAGAAAGTCTACTTTATTTTAAATAAAATTTCATAGCTGCGTATCTAATTTACATTTCTTCTATTATCTTTCCAGCTGCCCGTGAAAGTGAATTCCCATATCGTCGTTGACCTTCCTGCCTTCCTGCCCTTTATCTATATGCACTATATCAGCAACAACAAAAACAACAACAGCAACAGCAACAACTACACCTATCACCACTGCAACAAAAAGTCAACCAAAAAGCAATCGTAAAAAGCAAATAACTAGTAAACGTTGTAATCGGAACAAATGTTGTACATACCTACGGATAAATTGTAAATAACTGTTTGATACTGCGATTACCCGTTACCCGAAAACCAGAAGAGAATATGAAGGTTATTCCAAATTGATTTTATGCCAAATAATAAGCTATGTTTGCTTTGCACCAACCATAAATTAAATTTGCACTTCACACTCAAGAGTTTCGGGTATCGAATTGTCGAGCTCATCGACTATCGGTAATCGGTAATCGGTAATCGCAACGGATCAGTAATCGGACAAATACCATTCGACAGAAGCGTTGGCCAGCAAAATTTAGCTAGAAGACAAAATATACAAGGAGAGGAATTTTTGCATACTAAATTTAATAAATCCATACGGAAATTACAAAGAGCAAGAATTACTAGCGAAGCAGAGACCCAACAATAATTAGCATTAAAAATTGGTTAACAAACGGAAGACCCCGGAAGACCGAAGCAGAGGATAAGTTGTACGCCCATTGTGATTATTAATTTTAGACATTAGGCCAAGAAACCAACAGCAATTCGATCTGAACGTGACGAAACGGAACGAAGTCAACAGGAGAATTGTTGCTCAGCCAATTATTACCAGCAAAACACGACCAAAAAAAGCAAAATAAGAGCAAAAGCCAAAGAAAGGCAACAGCAAAAAGCAAAAAGCAAAAGCAAAAGCAAAAAGCAACACTAGCCGCCCAAAGAAACTTGAAAGCATTAGCCAAAAACTCTTAGTTCAATTCCATCCAAAAACCAAAACCAAACTCTCGGCTTTTGACAAATGTGAGGCGTTCGAAATAGAAAAGTAGAAAAATAAGAAGAGAAACCAATTGATGTGGCTGCCAAACTCAGCGACAACTCAGTCTCAACTTTTGCCCTGAAGCATCTGTATCTGTATCTCTATCTCTATCCGTATCCGTATCCGTATCCGTATCCGTATCTGTATCTGTAACTGTATCTGTATCTATCCTGCAAATCTGAGTGGGAATCCGAGTTCAAATCCGAATTCGAGTTCAAATACGAATACGAAGTTGCCCAAAAAACGCAAGGTTTCTCCTCCCCCTCTGAATCGCGAGTGCGTTTCCGGTTTCGGTTCCGCTTCCGTTTCCGT